ACCCTGAAGGAGCCATCATTTTCTCATGTGTAAGGTTCAGGGATGGGCAGGAAGGAAGGATTCCTAACAACAGCAAGTGGAATCTTCCCTCCCTCCGTCTGCCACCTTGCTTACACCTAACAAGATGTGCCCCAGGGGTGAGCCCTGGACGTGTCATCTACTGCTGCACAGTGGCAGGTACAAACTCTCATGCCCCAACCTTCTTGTCTCAGGAGGAGCGCCAAAAATGAGAGGAATGCAGCAGGCCTCCACAGGTGAGCTGGGGTGACACCCAGGCAGCAATGAAGCCATTGTGACACGCCAGGCTCCTAAGCAGCTGGGAGGTCAGCGTGCTTCACAAAAAAGGACTCGGGATTTGCTAAGTGATTTGTGGCACACTTGTTTAAAACAAACAAACAAACTGCTGAATATCTGGGGATCAGGAGTTAAGAGCATGTACTGCTCTCAAGGGGCCGAAATTCCCAGCACCTACATTGGGTGGGTGGCTAATAATCACTTGTAACTGTGGCAGAATCAGAAGCTTGTCTGTCCTTTCAACTAGGCTGGCAGACTGGGGAGCTCTGGAGATCAACTTGTGTCTGCTCTCCAGTGCCGGGGTTTCAGGCTGTGTAGCTGTGTCAGACTTTTTTTCCCCGGAGACAGGATTTCTCTGTATTGTTTGGAGCCTGTCCTGGAACTCGCTCTGTAGACCAGGCTGGTCTCGAACTCACAGAGATCCGCTTGCCTGTGCCTCCCGAGTGCTGGGATTAAAGGCGTGTGCCACCAAGGCCTGGCTTTTGTGTGTGTGTGTGTGTGTGTGTGTGTGTGTGTGTGTGTGTGTGTGTGTGTGTGTCAGTCTTTTTAAATGTGTAAATGTTTTTAATACGTATGTAAGATTGAGCCCAGGTCCTGTGGAAGAGCTGACTCTGGCCATCTCTCCAGTCCCGTGTGTCAGGCTTTTTAAAACGTCGGTACTAGGGATTCAAACTCAGGTCCTCAAGCTTGCACAGCAAGCACTCTTATCAACTGAGCCATCTCCCTAGTCCCTCTCTAGCTTTTTATCTGATGTCATCACCTAGTTCTGTAGAACTAAGCCCCTGAGCTGTTTCCACACCTCAGGCGTAGACACTGCCTTCCAGACCCATTTAATCAAGCACTGATTTTCTCTTTGTAACTTTCTTCAGAATCTTGCCACAGAGCCCAGGATGCCTCGGACTTGTGGCAATCCTCCTGCTCAAGTGCTAGGATCCTAGGTATGTAGCAACACACCTAGCTTAAGCATGTACTTTTATGCGTGCATTCATTTATTCTTGGAGAGGTGTTTACTGAGGGTTGGTAAGACGGCTCATCCAGCGGAGAAATATTCACTGAGTGCCTACAGCAGCAGCTCTTCTACTGAGCTCACAGCGGTGATGGCTAATGCTCGCTCACACATCTATATGAGCTTCCCATACCACTGTGGCAACTGTAGGGAGCAGCTCCCAGCTCCAAGTAGCGGAGTCCAGTGTGACTCGAGAACACGGTTCCCACACACTGCTTATCTGCTTGCTGATGAATGAAGGTGAAAAAAGATCGATAAATATCATCAGCTAGTGAATAATTAAACAAGTTCTGAGCTGGTCCTTAGTACTTGGTCTTGTACTGTCTTTTTCAAAGGCACTTCTCTCTCTCTCCTTCCCTCCCTCCCTCCCTCCCTCTCTCCCTCCCCCTCTCCCTCTCCCCCCTCTCTCTCTCTCAGGTTGGATGTGGTGGTACCCACCAGGAGAATAAAATCATCCTTGGATACAGGGGAGTTTGAGGCCAGCCTGGGCTAATGAGACCATGCTTCAAACAACAATAAAATGAAAAATATCTTTTAAAAAGCTGGTGTAAGCCGGGCATTGGTGGCGCACACCTTTAATCCCAGCACTCGGGAGGCAGAGGCAGGCGGATCTCTGTGAGTTCGAGGCCAGCCTGGTCTACTGAGCAAGTTCCAGGACAGCCTCCAAAACAATACAGAGAAACCCTGTCTCAAAAAACAAAAACAAACAAACAAACAAAAAAAGCTGGTGTATCAGTGTTTGCTAGCAATCCCACTACCTGGGAAGTGAAGGCAGTGGGGTGAGGAGTTCAAGGTTATTCTTAGCTACACAGTGAATTGCAGGCTAGCCTGCGGTGCATGAAACTGTTTCAAACAAATAAAAGTTCTTATTTTATTATTTTATTTACTCCTCAATGACAAAGAGAACTATATTTTATTTGTTTTTTTTGTTTTGTTTTTGTTTTTCGAGACAGGGTTTCTCTGTGGCTTTTGGAGGCTGTCCTGGAACTCGCTCTTGTAGACCAGGCTGGCCTCGAACTCACAGAGATCCACCTGCCTCTGCCTCCCGAGTGCTGGGATTAAAGGCGTGCGCCACCAACGCCCGGCGAGAACTATATTTTAAAGAAAAGGATTATTATTTTAAAGTATTTGAATGTCTGTGTGCAGGTGCCTGAGAAGGCCAGAGGTGTTGGATCTTCCTGGAACTGTAGCTACAGACAGATAGTTGTGACCCACTGGATGGGGCTGCTGGGAACCACACTCGAGTCCTCTGCAAGGGCAGGATGCACTCATATAACTGCTGAGCCTCCTCTCCAGTCCTCATAACCACCAACTATGTCTTATTGGTGTGTTCCTTCTCCGACGATGGCTCATTAAAGTGCGTGGTCTTCAGTTGACACACTGCTCAGATGAAAATGCAAATCAAAAATCAACCAGGGAGGGGCAGGTGAGATGACTTAGTGAGGAGAGACACTTACCCCTAAGCCTGACAGCCTGAGTTTGTTCTCTGAGACCCTCAAAGGGCTAGAAAGATGGTCCATTGGCAAAAAGCCACATACTGTCCTCACAGAAGACCCAGTACCCATGCCAGCAGCTACAACCCCCACAACTCCAACTCCAGCTCTTGTAGCCTCTGGGGAACCTGCACTCACATGTGCGCACCCACACACGGAGGCACACATCCACACATCATTCTTTAAAGCCCTCGACCAAATAACAAAAATAACAACAAAATGTCAGCAGGGGAGGGTCACCCGCGCGTCACACACAGGCTTGCATTGTCACAGACTGATTACACTGTCTAACAAAGCACCCAAACCGGAACTCAGTCACCTCCCTCCCTGACTTCTAAATCCAGCTACACACATCTAACAACTTTATAAGCATGAAACATAGATTCCCCCACCCCCTCCCACAGGATGTCTCTGTGTAGCCCTGGCTGTCCTGGAACTCACTATGTAGACCTGGCTGGCCTCGAACTCACACAGATCTGCCTACCTCTGCCTCCCAAGTGCTGGTATCAAAGGCATGTGCCACTCTCTCCCCAGCTAATAAAGACCTTGTGGCAGCTAACTTTCTTTCCCCTAAGACAGATTCTCATGTAGTTATAGCTAGTCTGGAACTCTCCATGCTACACAAGCTTCCTGGGAAAACAGAAGTAGAACATTGTACCCAATTTATTTTTGTTTTCTGTGAGGCAAGTAGCACACAAAGTGACCTGGTACTTACTAAATAGCTCCAGTTGGCTTTGAACTTCTGGGAATCCTGACCTAGCTCTGGTCTGATTTCTTTTGCTCAGGTCCTTTGTAAGAGTCACCCATAGGGGCTGGAGAGATGGCTTAGAGGTTAAGAGCACTGCCTGCTCTTCCAGAGGTCCTGAGTTCAATTCCCAGCACCCCACATGGTGGCTCACAACCACCTATAATGAGATCTGGTTCCCTCTTCTGGCCTGCAGGTGTACATGCAGAACATTGTATACATAATAAATACATAAATCTTTAAAAAAAAAGAGTCACCCATATTTTCTGGGCAGTGACAGTGCACACCTTTAATCCCAGCAATCAGGAGACTAAGAGTGGCGGATGAGTTCAAGGCCAGCCTGGTGGGTCTACAAAGTGAATTCCAGGACAGCCAAGGCTGGTACACAGAGAAACCCTGTCTTGAAAAGAAAAAAAAAGCCATCCATATTCGTTGTATGTAGTTGTAATTTTTTTTTTTACGAGACAGGGTTTCTCTGTATTGTTTTGGAGGCTATCGGTCCAGCCCAGCCTCGAACTCACAGAGATCTGCCTGCCTCTGCCTCCCGAGTGCTGGGATTAAAGGCGTGCGCCACCAACGCCGGGCTCAGTTCTGGATCTGAGAAGGACACTTTCAAAATCCTCCCAAGTTTCTCAGATAGATCTTAGGATTTCTGGTTTATAGATGAGGACACCAGGGCTCTGAGAGGTGCAGTAATTCGTTCAAAACCTCTTACATCTTGGCATAGACTTAGGGCTGGGGTGCCAGCAGGGCTGTCTGACATCACCCATCATTTCTTGTCTCTGTCCAGCTCCCTTCCGGACTTGGCCTCATATGGCTTCTCAGCACCGGGGAGAGATGGGCTCTGTGGTCCAGGTTTGGGTACCCTGGGCTTGCATGGCCCACATCCTACCCAGCTCTGCAGAGGGCTCACGGGGCTTGAGCGGACCTTCAAAGTGCTTCAGAAAGGAGAGGCGCCTAGAGGGGGCGACGGCTGGAGGAGTAAGGATGGGGCAGTTGCAAACCATCGTTTGCTCTCAGGAGGGGTGCAGCTCTGTTGGCGGAAGGTGAGCACAGCGTGCCAACCGGCAGCGGCCTGAAGAGCCTGAGGGTGTCTGGCAGGAAAAGCCACCTCCAGAGCCCACCACCCGGTCCTGGGCGGGGCCCGGCCCCGCGCGAAGGGGGCGGGGCCCACAGGCAGCTGCCGACCAATGGGCGCACGCGGCCCAGGCCCCGCCCCCGACTCTGCTGCATAGTCATGAGGCGCAGGCCGGCGCTGCGTCAGCGGAAGCGGCGCGCAGCGGCTGTTTCCGACCCGATAAAGCGGCGTTGTCCCCCGCGCGCTGGCCGCAGCCTCGCAGCGCTCCCTCAGTGCCCGAGTCGCTGACTGACGGACCCGCCCGGCCGGCCGCCGCCGAGGGCGCAGCCGCCGCCCGGACGCCCCGCCGCCGCCGCCGCCCCGGTGCGCCCGGGGCCCCCGCACCCCAGCCGCCAGCCAGCCCCGCCAGCCCCGCGGCCCCGGCCGGAGGAGACAGGTGAGCGGCCGCACCTGCCGCCCCGCCCCCTTCCGCGCGGCCCGGGCCTCGAACCGGCGACCCGACCTCACCCCGCGTCTTCCCCCACCCCCACCCGGCCGCAGCGCTGCAGCCCGCACCTGCCCTCCTTGCTCATCCTGCATCCTCGGCCCCGCGGCCGCGGTGAACGCCTCCCTAGCGCGCCGGCCCGGGGCCAGCCCAGAGCTCACCTCCCGCCTCCGGCGCTGGGGGCTGCGCCCTCCTCTGCCCGGCCCCTTGCTAACTTCTGTGGGAGTTCGCCGCCTGGGGCCCGCACCTTGAATCCTCCTGGGCCACCGCGCTCTCTCTCTATCCCCTTGTCCCCCCAGCGTACGTTGCTGGCTTGCAGCGCTGCTGGCCGGTGGCCTGACCCTTTGCGGCCACCTTTTTATTTTCCGAAGCCCACCTCGTCCCTGGAGAAGACGGGAGCACTACGCTCCAGGTGCAGAGCCTCGGATTTGGAGAAGCCCTCCCCCCCCACCCCGTCCCTCACCCTGAGACCCATCCTCAAGTCCCCCGAGCTTAACCCATTCCTCTCCAAGGTGTGCTGCGCTAGATGGGCGCCTGGAGAGCACACTCCCGCGGAGAGCTTTTCCAGGGGAGGTATGTGTAAGTTGGGAGCACAGCCTGCTGGTTAGTTACTGGTAATAATTTTAGAAGTTGGGGCCGGCCATGGGTGGGAAGAGGCGCTAGGTCTCCTGAGGAGTCTGGGTGTTTTGCTTTCCCAGTGGGATACAGTTGTCTCCAGTCTCCGCTTCTGGTACCCTAGCTGACCACGCACCGGGGTTTGCAGCTCCTTGTTACTGGGGTGTTCAAAGAGGAGCGCCTGGCAAACAGAATTTGCAAGATGAGCGGTTGAAGCAATCGTTTCCAGTGGTCTCTAGACCCAGAAACTCAGAGGGTGGGCCTCAGTACACCTGGGTCACCCCCCCTGCAGGGAGAAGTGTGTTCTAAGCCCACTCACTCCCGTGCCTGTAGCTGGCTCTGCTACGGCTGACAGGTAGGGTGTGGTGGAAGCCTTTCCTCGGTTATTATTTTTGTCTCTTGTAGTAAGAAAGCATTAGTTAAAAAGCTCGAGAGCTGCCTTACTGACTAAGAGTGACACATGGCTGGTCACTGGAACTGGGAACCTCCACCAGCCTTGAAACAAATGTCAACACCCACCCTCAATTTGCTGCTTCGATCTGAACCCAGCATGAGAAGAGCCAGTTGATTAAGGCTTTGCAGAAGCTGCTGAGGTGGGGGGGGGGCAGTGACTGTGGCCTAGAGCTGTGTGGGCTCCAGGTGGGAAGAGACCCCAACATAATGAGGAAACCAAGTGCTCTGGGGCAGAGGTTGGGGAAGTAGGTCATTTGAAAATCCTACCCGGCAGTAACATTGGCGCTGATCGCTTGTGGCTGCTGCTGAGAAGTGGTTCCTCTGAAAGGTTTGGCATGCTCGTTAGGTGTCTGGGGGTGATTTATCTGGGAAAGAGGCCTGCCTCAGCCCCTGGGACTGGAGGAGGCTGCCCAGGGCCAGCACCCAGTGCTGTGGAGGACTCGCTGGCTTCCCTGGCAGAGCTGCTACGCCGCATCGTGACAGCAGGTCAGAGATTGGCCTGGGTGATCTCCAAGGTAGCTAGCTGGCTTTCAACACCCTCCAACTTTGCTTATTGGAGAGGAGGGAGTGGGGGAAGGGCTGAGGGAGCTGTAAACCCTTCTTCCCCTTCTCTGCCTTGCAGAGCTGCAGGGGAGGAGAGGCCTTCATGCTGCAGCCCCTGGTCTGTTGTGCAGTAAAGGAGCCCAGAAGGTATTTGGGCTGGTGTTAAGGGTGCTGCATTGATTTCACCTGTTATCCAGAAGGCAGGCGGAATGCCTCGGTCACCCTGCCCTATGTCCTCTCACTGTCCTAAGGACTCTGGTGCCCCGGCTTTGGGTAGCCAGCAAGAGGTGGTTTGTGACAGCTTAGTGGCCTGGCATTGAGTAACAGAGACTGGTGATCATTGTAGGTGGCAGACAACCCCAAATTGCTACTGCCCTCCTGGGGAACACCCTGGCAGTACCATGCCTGTAATTTTTGGAGCCAGAAAGTGCTAGAAGCTATGTTCTTGTTAAGGGTGGGTGAAGATGCTTCTCTATGTTCACCTCCTGTGGATCCCCAGATTTTTTTTAAATCATAATTTAATTATGTCAACAGGGTGCACTTAGTGATATGCCAGTTGGAAACTCGACTGTAGGCTAGGCAACACACAAATGTTCATTCGTGTCCTGTCAAGGTTCAGCAGTGGGGACACCTCATGCAAGCAGAGCCATCCATCGTGGGGGTGGGAGACCCCATAATCCAGAGTCTGCAGAAGGCTCGGTTGAAGCACCTCCCCCACCAGCTTCCAGACAAGCTCCTCTTGTTTGCATTAGTGTAACTGCTCCACCAAAGTCAATGAACAAGGGTCTTTTTCAATGGGAACTTTCAAAGTGTGCCTCGGGTGCCCCCCACCCACCTTACTATCAAGTTCTGAGCCCTGTGATAACTCCTTTCAGAGAAACTCGAGACCTCTTCCATGCCTGGTCGGGCTCATTCCAGGCACCTTTTACGTGGAGGCTGGTGTGTACCGGGATTTGTTTTTGTTTGTGTATATTTGTGATTTTTTTTTTAAAGACTGGGTCTGGTCGCTGGGACTAACTAGCCTCGGACTCCTGACACTCCTTCCTCCTCCTCCCAGGTGCTGGAGTTACAGTGCCACCATGCCGGGCTCTGTGAGGCAGATTTAAGACTGAAACCCTGCAGCATTAGGAAGACTGATGCAGCAGAATTAAGTTCAAGTCTAGTCGGACATACATAGGGATACCCTCTTATAATTTTAAGTTATGTGTGTGTCTTTGTGTAGGTGTGTACATGAGCGTATAGGTGCCTGCAGAGGCTACAGGTGTTGGGGGGGGCGCCTCACCCTGGAGCTGGAGTTTCAGATAGTTATAAATTGTCTGATATGGATGCTAAGAATCAAACTTGGATCCTCTGGAAGAAGCAATACATGGTCTTAAACACTGAGTCACCTTTCTAGCCTAAGGCCCTATTTCAAAAAAAATGAACTGGGCAGACTCAGCAGGCATAGCACACTCATGTTTGTTTACCACTGCTCTTGTTCCTTTACAGGGGGCCACTCTGTTCCTAGGTGGCCCCTTGAGATGAGTGGCCAGCCTTGTGCCTTCCTTGGAGGGTGTGGGTGTTGGTGCTTCAGGATGTCAGGCAGGCATTATGGGATGGCTGCGTGTGTATGCCTCCAGTGATGGAGTTGCTGGGCTGTTGAGAGCTGTGGGGAAGGACACAAAACCTGAATTTGGAGAGAATATAGTCCCAAGTTCTCTGTAGCTCAGCTACTGCTTGGGTATGGTTGTTGTTTGTTTTTATTTATAATTTTTTATGTGTATGAATGTTTTGCCTGCATGTATGTATATGTACTACATGTATGTCTAGTGTCCAAAGGGGTCAGAAGAGGATCTCCTGGGACTTTGAGCCACCACGCGGGTGCTGGGGTTGAACCCAGATCCTTTTGCTCTAACCACTGAGTCAGCTCTCCAGACTGTTTTGTCGTTGTTGCTTTTTTGAGGCATCCTCTCAGGTAGCTCTTGCTTGCCTTGAGTTCACTATGTAGCCAAGGATAACCTTGAACTTCTGATCCTTCTCCCTCTACCCTACAACTGTTGGGATTCCTAGCATGAGCTGCCATGCCTGGCTTGGGTTTCTTTTAGACAGGGGCTAACACTCTCCTTCATTATCTTGTCCATCCTTATTTTGTGCTAGGTGTGGCCTCTAGATACAAGGGTCTGAGGGTGCCAGGCTGCCCATATAGAACCCAGAACCCTCATTTTCCCTGGGATCTGCTTTACCTTTTTAAAATTTATTATTATTTTTTTGTTTTTTCTTCATGACAAGAGTTTCTCTGTGAAGCCCTAGCTGTCTTGGAACTCACTGTGTAGGTCAGGATGGTCTTGAACTCACGAGATCCACTTGCCTCTGCCTCCCTAGTGCTGGGATTAAAGAAGTGCGCCAACATCCCTTAGCTGCTTTACCTTTTTGATCCTTAAGATTGGCTTCCTTGTCTCTTCAGGCTGGGGAGACACTGTGCAGACTAGGCCTCCCTGTCTTTAGCTGAACCCCCACATCTGTGGAAGGATTTGCCCAGCTAGGTGGTTGGGTAGGACAGAGTGCTAGCTAGGTTCCTTCTGGGCTGGGATCCTGCATGGCCAACTCCTGGCTTGAGTTTTTGTAGTTTGTGTCTCTTGAATTTGCAGCCACATGACTTGGTTAGCAACCACATCCCCCTGTTTCAAACAAGGGAAATCTTGAGTAAGAGAAGCCACACTTTGAACTAGAAAATGAAAAGGCATTATGACATTGAGGTGGGCATGCATTTGGCTCTGTGTGGTGGTCACTGTACTTTGTGTACAAGTCTTACTGCATAATTTTAAGCAGTCACTTAGATGTTGTAAGCCAAAGTATAATAAATAGCTCTCTATGCCAACAACTTAGTCATCATTTGAGGGATGTACAACCAATCAACAGAGTTTGATTTTTAATTTGGAGTAAGGAGAGTATTTTTCCATCAAGTTTTGGAGGACAGGGACTGAATTCTGGGCCTCCAGTATGGTTCTCACATTCCACCCCTGCACACCCCTGCAGCTGTCCATCAGCTGTCCGTGTGGTGTATATACACATGTGTTCCTGTGTGTGTGTGTGTGTACAAGGCCAGAAACTGACACTGGGTACCTCCCTCTACAGATCTCTTCCTTCATTTTGAATCAAGGGTCTCTTACGGAACCTGGGGGCTAGCCAATGAGTTCCAGGTATCTTCTTGCCTCTGCCTCCCCACCCTAGTGCTGGGGTAAAAGAAATGGACCACCATGCAACCGTGTAAGTGTGGAGGTCAGAGGACAACTTTGGTGTTGGTTCTTTCCTACTTCCTGTAGCTTGCCAGGCTTACATGGTAAGCACCTTTATCTGCTGAG